GATTATGGTTGATTAAATAGTGGAAGAAGTAGCAATGCAAGTGTGTAAATTACGATACTCATTGGAAAACATCACTCTACCTGGAAGGCATAAATACATGCTGATTTTATTATAGAAAATTGAGCAGTTTCTTGTGAGAATGAAACGGAAAGCATTATTTTTCTTACATAAATATGTAAGAAGCAAGGAAGAAATTGAAAGATTTAGTTTTAAAACCCGGAAATACCCTTCTGTTATTGATGAGTGGGCTTATTTTGAAAAAGATATGCTTAATGTAATAGACAAAATCAGGTTTAGAAAAGTAAAGAGTAATTTTTAAAAAAATCTGTCTACAGAGGTGAAAAGAATAAAGAAAACAGCAAAAATTCTTATTAAAGGCAATAAATCCGTAAACATCTACATGATAAACCTGAAGGATTATAGAAAAAATAAGTGAGGTGGTCACAAAATTCTATAAAAAAGTACCCACTTCATATACTGAAAAGATTAATGAAGAGGCCAAAAATATCACAGTCAAACTGGATATAAGTGTCAGGGTCTAAAAACTATACAAAAAACAAGCCTTCTTAACTGTAAAGGACCACAAATGTAATTTTCCTAATAGTCCTTCATTCCAACTGATCAACCCAACCAAAACTGAATTGGGCAAAATAAACCAGAGGATTTTACAAATGTGTCCAACTTATTACAAATTGCAACATAGTAGAAAAATATGGGTGAATGTATTTCTTGGTTTTGTGGAATAAAAAAAGCATGTATTCACCAAATAAAACATTAAGGATTTCTATCCATCCATATCTAAACAAGGGTTAATTGATCATTGAATTTTGTTAAGGATTTTCTCAAAATAACATTGAAGCATGTAGAAATAATCCTGATAAAATAATGGGTTTGAAAGAATATTCAGTGATGCCCACATAAAATTTTTATTTTAATTTCAAACAATAATACAAAAAAACACCCAAAAACATTTAAGATAGGAACAAAATTATTGGCCTTCTTATCTCAATAATCAATTGTAAAACCTTTAGTAATGATTATTGCTTTAATTGTTTTTTTGATATTTTCTTACAAGACACACACTAATACTTATTTTGCTCCATTCTTCCTTGGCAATAGTTTCTAGTAACTCCAAATTTGAAGGACTTCTTTCTCTTACCTTTTTCTTCAAATATGCCCATAAATTTTCAATGAGGTTTATGTCAGGACTTTGTGCAGGGTACACCAATAACTTAATTTTGCAGTCATCTAAGTATTTTTTTAACAATTCATGCCATGTGTTTTGGGTCATTGTCATGTTGGAATAACCAGTGATGCCCCAAATACAGCTTTCATGCACTTTGCTTTATATTATTTTTAAGAATATCTAAATAATGCTCTTTATCCATGACATCCTGTACTCTCACTAGTTCTCCTGGTCAAAAGCAGCAATACATCTGCAAAGTAGAATGCTCCCACCACCTTGCTTAATTGTCAGGAGGGTATTTTTTGGTTTGTGAGCTTCATTCACTTTACTCCATATATAATGGGTGTTCATGTGACCAAATAATTCTAATTTGTTTTCATTTGACAATAAAACAGAGTTCCAATATTTACTACCATGTTATAGATAGCTTCTACCTTAATCTAATCTGTATTTTAATTGTTTAGCCTTGAAGCAAGGTAGTTTTCCTTGGGTGACAAGCTTGAAGTACTGCTCAATGAAAGCATCTAGTGAGTATCTTCATCAACTCTGATGTCTTTACATCATTGCCCAGAACTGGTTTAAGGAGCATTCTAGAGATTTCTAATGAATGATGTACCTATTACCATCACACAACATGAGCCTAATCAAGTATTTATGGGACAGCATAGGGAGATCTATTTGAACACAAAATCCTGCACCTACAAATATCAAAGAGCTATGGACAGTTATTGAAATGACATGGTTCAATAATTCTCCAGACGTCTGTGGAATAGCTGTATTTCATCTCACTAGGTTAGTGATGAAGTCCTACATGATATTAGATACCTATCCTTTGTTGGTACATTACTGTCGATCAACAGTTTTGTCCCACAAACCATTACTTTTTAGAACCAACTCACAAGAGAATGCTTTCCCAATCACTACAATCTTAATCTGTTCAATCCTCAATCACTATAATCTTAACCTCTTAACTGCTATCTTCCTCACATATTCTCATAAACTGTTTTTCTACTACTTACTCTGTAACCCTCTACCTCGAGTGGCTCTTAGGGCTTGTACAGGGTGAATATCATTGTAAAAAAAAGAAAAAATTATACTGTGAAAAGTTTTATTAAAATCAGCTAATAACTACATGGCTACAAACATTTATCCACCTAAATCTATCTATCTACTGTATGTACTCACAAATAATACAACTTTTGAAGACTTCATTTTGAAGCTAATTTTAAGGGGTCACATCATACATGAGATATAAAATTAGTGCGTATGCACTGCTGGCCCTGGCTATGCTGTTGACCAAACTATATATCCGTTTACTGTAGTCAAATTATCTTCAAAATTAGGTCTTCAAAGATTGCATGATATGTGAGTATATACAGTATCTGTCTATTGACCAACTCCTCTTGTGTATCTAAGTAGTAAGTTGATAAACTTTTGAATATTAAAGTTTTCTGTTGGTTTTAATTCAGATTATGCTGTCATTCCATTAAACTATTATTTTCAGCAGACTCTAATGCTACGATCCAAAGATTGCTATATTACAAATGTGGTTTATTGTTTGTGTGTAAGTGAAGTTTAACTGTAAGGTTTTGATGAGGTTATAAACAAAACCATTGGTAGTGGTTGGCTTGTAAGGAAAAAGCTTATAACCTTCCCTACTAGCCAGTATAGTATATAGTAGACATATACACTAGGATCTGCAGAAAAATTGAAAAATATAGAATTTGGGGCATTTATATGTTTTTTGAAGAGTCATAGAAGTATATCTTTATATACTCAAAGAGAATGTGCTAAGTTAAAAACCAAAGTAAGCAAGTTCCCTTTTTTACTTAATACTGTATGAAGAGACTGAATCACAAGTCTACAGTTGGATATTGTGGCATCTTATCTATTCTTTACTATCAAATCTTTCATGTTGTGATTTAAGATCAACAGAAAAAGTGAATTTCAGGAAACTAGAAAACACTAATTTCTACACCTGCATCACTTTCATTATTATATGATTTAAATTTAAGCAGAGAAGTAAAAATTGTTTTTTTGTTATGACAGAGGCTTTTGCATGATCAATGCATGCATATTTAAACTAATCTCTATTAAGCCATTGAATGAGATCAGTACTGTTATCTTTGAAAAGAAATACAGTAGATTTTATGTTAAAAAATTTTGTCAATTTTTATTCTATCTGAAATGAATTTGCATAGTAGTAATAAACTCTAAAAGAAGAATATTTGCAAATTTTCAATGAAATAAATTCAATATTATGGATACATTATTTTGCATTTATGCAAATTAATGAAGATTTTACTTGAAAAAACATGGGAAAGGTATCAAACTAAAGTGTTCATATTAAAAATATATTTGATTTTGTTGTTTGGATGTTGATTTAAGGCTTCACTCCTCAAATTTTGATTTCCAACCAAAAGTGTCTTCTTTTTAATCATGAGGTGGTTTGAAAAAACAAAATAAGGCATTTATTATTTACGAAATGTGGTCTTTAGTTTTGTACTTAAAACTTAAATAGTCATATAATAAGAAAAGTCAAAGTAATTTCTTTTTAAATTCCTTATTAAAATATTATGTTTCCTACTAATATTAATGAAAAACTGAAGTTTTTCATTATGGTAGAGGTCCCAGCTGACAAAATAATCAAACATTATATTCAAATACATTTGACTTTAAGCTAAGAACTTTTCAGCATCTCCTCCAATGAATCTGTAGATTTTAAAAGAATAAAAATTAAAATTTACTCAAAAATAATGTCAGTTATACATTGTATCATTTGTCATGGTTTTATGCTTTTAGAAGAGGAAATAACTAAAGTCCAATATCCTTGACTAATTAACTTTCTCATGGACAAAATCTGACTGACCACTGGCATATTGCCATGCACTATTGTTCCAATCATTTTACTATTTGGTCTGTAATTCCTGGGCTTTATGACCATTTTACCCTCACACCCAATTCAGGAAGCGTGCTACTTTTAAAGTCATTGAAATGAACCACTAGCCACGGAGGCAATTTGTTGATTTCTAAGGTGGTCATTATATGAAATTGACTCCAAATATCTACTTTTCACACGATAATCAGTCTGTAGCAATTTAACTTGGATGCCAGTCACATTATTCATGGTTGATGTCTCTGTAAACTAAAAGGTTTGTATTAATATATGTATAGCATACTTGGAATAGAAATTCTTTTTGGAGAGAATCTAAGTTTCCTTGCTCATAAATAAGATAAATATTTGTGTCTAGATGGCAGGATGCCAAATTAAGTTCTATTTTACTTCTTCACAAAAGTCATGTGTGAACTAATTTTTCAAGCTTTGAGTTCTTAGTTCTCCTGATTCTATTCATCAAAAGAAAGTGATATAAAAAATATTCAAAGACATTCCATTCAAAGGTCCTTGATGCAGCATTGCTTTAGCTAGACTAAAAAGAGCTTCTGCTTGATTACTTCCAAGATATCACAGACAGAGGATGTCAATTGACAAAAATGAAGGCATATACAATGAAAGCATTGTGTCAGACACAGCACTTGCTCTTTGAGCTGCAGGAATTGATGATGGACAATTGAGTCCTAGTTGGAGACATCAACATATTTTCTGAAATTTTCCTCCTGTCAGGGTTCATAGTTCTTATGGTCATTTTCAACAGATCTTTGGCAATAGAACAATTCACAAGACTCAAGTTGAGAATAATTTTTTTTTTCTTGGCAAATTAACTTATAACTTTATTCTTCAAATACAAAAGATGAAAAAATAATAAATCAATATTTATAAAAGATTTCAATATTTTTATGACTTTAAACAGCTGATTCATATCATGTTGAAAACACCAGTTCTCATCACCATTTAAGCAATGTTGAGCCTGGTCAGTACCTAGATGGGTGACCACTTAGGAATACCAGATGCTGTCAGCTTTGTTGTGCAGCTTGGAATTGGAAATTGGAGAGCCAAGTTCCCCACCCTCTATTTTGGTTTGTTATATTCCCTTATGCATAAATACCCTTGGGAAAGGTATGAATCCACCTCTTCTCCCTCATGTATGGGTTAATTAGTAAGACTTGTATCAAAGGAGGCATGGCAGAGTAATGGATAGCAGCTTGGATTGAGGAATCAGAGAGCCAAGTTTGAATTCCAATTGAATCCATTACATTCACTAACATGCTAATACCCTTAGGAAAGATATGAATCCTCTTCTTCTCCCACCATCTATGGGTAAATAGCAGGACAGATTGGGTTCTATAGCCTTGGATGGCAACTGGTCTACCACAGAAAGAAATGGCAACCTACTGTGGGAAAAAATCTACCTCATCAGTCATGTATCGAAAGATACATGATCGCCTAAGTGTGTATCATGCATGGCATATAACTTGTCTGACTATATCAGCAAATCATTATTATCTTCAAAAAATTCTCCCAATCTAAAAATATTTTCTAGATTTAAATAACTTGCAAAGGGTTGATAAGTCATAAAAAACAAATCAATCAATCAATCTTATGAAACAGCATAAAAACATCATTTTATGATATATATGACACAAGCATATGTGTGTACACTGGGTAGTATTAATTTTATTCCAGGTAATATATCAGAAAATAAAATTAAAAAAATAACTAAAAAAATAAGCTGGATTTTTCCATCCAAATTTTTTTCTTTTTTCAATGTTTTATGTATTTACTGCTTTTGTATTTGTGTCTATATTATAAGTTTACTTTTACTGAATGTTTCATAACTTCTAACCTCTTTATACTTACTGCATCTTTTGACTCACATTTTAATGCTGTTTCTATATTTGTTGCCTAGAGACAATTCTTACTTTGCCTACATTGCTTTTACTTCATTTGTCTACCTCATAACATATATTTCTTTTATAAATGAGATATTTCAAAGATTATACATAAACTTTTAATATATATATTTATATAATAATATAATCTGTTTATGTATACAACAATATTTTATAGCCAGTAGATGATTATTAAAAACATTCATTTGGATTAATAACTGCAAATGCATTAAAAATTCTTCTTCTTAAAATGTAGAAATACAAGCTTATATTTCTTAGATACAGTCAGGGTATGTCAGAGTTCAAATTTGCTCACTTTTAATAAATTAAATTATGAGACCTTTTTTGATTAATATGGCCACTTGTCATTCCTGTTTAATGACACCTCGCCAAACTTATAACCAGCTATAAAATCTCATTAAATAATAATCTAACCAGTCAATATTGTATGTAAAAGTTGATCAGAGAAATGTTCTTTTTTTCAAAATGAATCCAAATGAATAAACAAAATAAAAAAACTACAAAAATTTACTTTTACTGTATTTATAATATGTGAATGAAAGTAATGTTCAGAATATATAGATGATTTTTTAATATTGTTTATAATGCCTACTGTTCAGTACACTAGTGTATAAGCATTTAGAAATAAATTAGAAATGTTATAGATGGTGTAAAAGTGTCATTAAAGTTATCTGAAGCTGGTCAACACAAAGGAGTAGTGTGCCTGAAAGAGCAATCAGGTTAAACTTCTCACTTACTGACCAGATTATTTTCTTTTTTGTTTTAATCATTTCACTTCAAGCAAGGCAATAAAATCACTGAGGTTACTGCGTGTTACAGAATATGAGAAAAAAATACTATTAAGGAGAGAGAACAATAAAAAGACAGGAATTAAGAAGACAGAAGATAATGATTGACATTACATTTAAAGTTTTGAAGATCAAAGTTGACAAGGAAGCAGAAAGCTGAAAGAGTTTTCCACAAGTGAGAAGTGTGGGAGAAAAAACTGTTAGCATAGAACTTATGGATACATCTAGCCATTTCAACTTGCTGCTAATCTAGTACTATTTAGTACTTAAATTCATAAAGTCTCAGTACCATAGAGGAGAGTTCCACAGAACAATTTCTATGAAAGTATTTACTAAAAAGGCACTAGGACGCTAGATTGGAATAGTATCTGGTTGTTTAGTGAGAAGTGGCAGTAATTCACAAGAATGACTGGGCATCAGTTTCCTCTAATTTAATGAAATATCAGCAATTATTTCATTGCTGTTGTTGCACTAAACTTGTTCAATATTTTGCATATTATTTACGCAGTACTTTTGACTATGTTCACTTTACTTTTTTTTAGTCCATCTTTTTTATTTTTTTGCTTTGTACCAGGAAAGATTGTCTTTCCATGAGACATTAATTTATTTATTTATATGTTTACAATGTTTTTTGATAAATCAATGATCCAACAACTTCTGTATAAATTCATTAATTTAAGAACAAATCAATGTTCTCAAATTCAATTATTTTGCAGGAATAGAATTATTTTTCTTGTTCTTATCTCTCATTTTGCTACTCAAAATTATTTTTTATCTACAGAATTTTTAAATTTGTTGCTTTTTATTCTTCAACACTCTTTAAGCAATGTTTTAAAAGAAGATGATGAAAACAAATGGATACTGCTCAATTAGGATTTGGATGACAATTATCAAGTCACCATGGCTGAAGAAAAAAAAGATTCATCTTAATCATCTATTAACAATTAAGTAAAAAGAAAGCACCCCAAAGAAAGCCTGCCCTGGCCATCCTTAGAAACACTGTTAAGAATGCCTTTTCCTCACTACTTTGGCATCAATCTCATTCATTCTTTTATTCTCTTGCAAAGTGCTTGATCCAGATGTTTGGATTAAATTTGCATATGGATATGCAAATCATCTCACTCTCCCAACATCCTGGTTTGTCTATTGTGCATTCTACTTGGATAAATCCTCAGCTGGTTAATGTGAGTCTCAGGTTCGAATCACACCTAAATCAATTCTACTTACAGCTATAAACAATGCATGTTGTCACGTGAATTCTTTACATGGCAAGTGAATGGCACCTTCTCTCGAAAACTCCTTCATTACAAACAATTTTTACATTATTTACATTATTCGGACTATTGTCCTCATCTTTGTTGCCATATTTATCACAACATTTTGGCCGTTGTACGCTCCGGCCTTCTTCAAGTGGTTGGAATGTCGAACTGAACCCTTTATTTCACTCACCGGGGTAGATTGTTCTAGTTCCACATGCCATGTTTGATGGATGTCAGTTATCAGTTATCTCCTGTTAATTTCCCTCTGAAAGTTCTCCACTGCCTTAACTGGGTATTGAACTCACACACTTTGGTTCCTGTCACTGGATCTAACCAACACCTTGAGGACATCTGGGTATGAATTTCTGGGTATTATAAACCTAATGTCTTCAGCAACCATTTTTACCAGTGCTCATATTGCAATTTTTGCTGTTACCATTGTATGTTTTTACCAGAGCTCATATTGCAACTATGTTGTTATCATTGCTTTTCTCTGGCACTCCTTATTACTGGTTCCCATATTGTATTTATTTCTATGCTTGGTCGGCTCAGGAGATTTTTGTGGCCTAGCATCTAAATAATGTACATAATACCTCATCTCAGAAATATAGACAAACAATTTTTAACCTGTGATTTATTTCAGCATCATTATGAATTATACTAAATATGAGAAAAAAGTAAATGGGCTATATTTTACTTGTGTGTGTGTGGGGGGGGCGGGAGTGGTGTAATGGATAGTGGTTTGGAATGAAAAATTGGAGAACTAAGTTCAGATAACAGTTGAGTCCATTACATTCTGCTAAGAGAGACTGGACTTTTCAGTCTTGGTTGGTAACCAATTTAGGAGAAAAAAAACTCTCAATTTCTGACTCTGCATGTGTGCGCACACACACACACACACACACACACACACAGAGTTTGGTTAAAAACAAGTGAAAGTTCTTTGTTAACAATTTTTGTTTATTTTTTCTATACTGGACCATTTTCCTGGTTTCCAATGAAAATTTAAATATAAATTATCACATGTTTTTGTCAATAATATTGTGACTTTATGCATGTATTGACTTTCTCTGTGCTATGTTAGTTTCATCATTTTTCAAATGTAGTGACTTTACATGTCACCTCAGTTTTTACAAGTATTTTGTTTTCATGAGATATGTAGTAATAAATAGAATTAAGTGTTTACTTGGTGATGATTGAACATTTATTTATCTCATGATATTGATTACTACAAAGATTGCTTGCTTTAAAAATATTAAATATCCTGGTTAACCATTTCTTACTTTCAAAAATACAATCTTTTTTATTATATAAAATGAAAATCACCAGTGACAATTTCTATATCCACAGTTTATAACTACAAATGTTATATTTTTGATACAAAACATTCTTCCCCAAGAAATATACTAGATTCAATATATATATATATATATATATATATATATATATATATACACACACACACACAAAACAAGCGTCCCAGTATAAGGGAGCTGACAGGAAATTGGTATCATGCAAAAAGGCATTAAATGTTTGTTACCCCTGAGAATGATCTTGGAGGAGATCAAAAGTATTTGGGTAGAAAAAATTATGGTATCTTGATGGATTTCATCTTAATCAAGAAACTGATTAAATGAAAAGATCATTATAAAAAATAGATAGACATAATATGAATGATCTTGGCATTATATATATATATATATATATAATATATATTTGAAGGTCAGAGAAAAATTATCAGATCCCATTATTAAATATACTTGGGAAAGGCAAAATTCTTCTTCTCCTCCCAGCTATGGGTAAGCAGAACAGATTGAGTTCTATAGCTTTGGATGGCATTTGGTGTAGGAGAGGAAAACTCTGAATTCAAAACCTGAGGAGGGTCATTTGGGGGTCTTGTGGCACAGTGCACCAGGTCTCTGTATTCGGGCTTTCAAAAAGTGTGGTTGGTTCTGCACAAAGCCTTCGCCACTATAATCAAATCATACGTGTTGGTGTCTGGTTGTCAGTTCCTAGGAACTGAGTTGCTGTCACTCATACAGTGGGAGAGTCCAACATAT